GCTGTGACCTCTGTACAGCTGTACAGAGGTCACAGCTGTGACCTCTGAACAGCTGTGACCTCTGTGTACAGCTGTGACCTCTGTACAGCTGTAACCTCTGTACAGCTGTGACCTCTGAACAGCTGTGACCTCTGTGTACAGCTGTGACCTCTGTACAGCTGTAACCTCTGTACAGCTGTGACCTCTGAACAGCTGTGACCTCTGTGTACAGCTGTGACCTCTGTACAGCTGTAACCTCTGTACAGCTGTGACCTCTGAACAGCTGTGACCTCTGTGTACAGCTGTGACCTCTGTACAGCTGTGACCTCTGTACAGCTGTGACCTCTCTGTACAGCTGTGACCTCTCTTTACAGCTGTGACCTTTCTGTACAGCTGTGACCTCTCTGTACAGCTGTGACCTCTCTATACAGCTGTGACCTCTCTGTACAGCTGTGACCTCTCTGTACAGCTGTGACCTCTGTACAGCTGTGACCTCTCTGTACAGCTGTGACCTCCCTTTACAGCTGTGACCTCTCTTTACAGCTGTGACCTCTCTTTACAGCTGTGACCTCTCTGTACAGCTGTGACTTCTCTGTACAGCTGTGACCTCTCTTTACAGCTGTGACCTCTCTGTACAGCTGTGACCTCTCTGTACAGCTGTGACCTCTCTGTACAGCTGTGACCTCTCTGTACAGCTGTGACCTCTCTGTACAGAGAGCTAAACACCAACTAAACAGCTCAGCTGGTCCTTGACTTCTAACAAATGTCCACCTCCACCACTCCATCGTCTCATTGTCAGCTTCCATTGTCCACATTAAGCATCCTCCAGCTGGGCAGGAAGCTGGTGGACCTGCAGCTCCAGGCTCTGATGATGGAAACACAACAGCTTTAAAACTTCTGTGTTGTCAGAACAACATCCTGCAGACACACAATAACACCACACTTCACTGTCTCTCCTTCATTAGCTTGTTTCTCCTGCAGCCAGGAGAACGTTCCTGTACATCAGTTAAATGTGATCGATGGATTCGTTGGTTTCAGAACAGACAAGTTTCCTTCGTTAGGCTCAGGTTAAAGTTTTTACAGATTTAAAACGTGTGCACAGCCTCTTCCTGGTCAGGGTTAGTGGTCAGAGCTCTTCCTCTGATGGTTAATCTCATTTCTTCTTCTACTGTTTGACAAACACTGTACCACCTCCAAACACACATGTAGGCCTTTACATTCAGATCAGTCTGACAGATGGACGGACTCAGTCGAGAACAGAATCAAAGTTCAGAACTTCATATTTGTTGTAAACTCAGTCCAGGTTCAGGTTTGCCTCTGTTAATCCTCTCTGTGTTCTCAGATGTTTCTTCTTCTTCTGTCCTCCTCAGACCAACAAGGCCGTTTCTAAAGGGGACTTCCATGTGGCCAGCTCCAGCTCCAGGCGGGCTCTCTTCCTGGCCGTGCTGTCAATCACCATCGGTACAGGGATCTACGTGGGCGTGGCTGTGGCCCTCATCGCCTACCTGTCCAAAAACCACCAATGGTGAAGGAGATTAGAGCGAGGCAGATTACCCATCAGCCCCTGCTGATCCGTCATGAGGCCTGACTCCTGCTGGGGTGGATGCTGGATGTGGTTTTGGAGCAGTGTGGAAGAGAAAGGCCTGAAACAAAGAAGCTTCAGCAGATCCAGTGTTCTGGTCATGGTGGTGTGTTTCACTCTGACACCTGTTCAGACAGGTGTGAGACACGTTCATCTGGACTCTGAATGTTGGAACCATTCAAACTTTAAACTCTAATAATACGTCTGTGATCCTCTGAGATTCTTCAACCTGACAACTGGAAACATGAGCTCTCAGCAGAGAGGAGGGACGATGCCTTCAGAGAACCTCAGAAAAAATACTCTGGACCATGTTTGAACAGCTGATGAGACAAAAACAACCTGTTTGACTCACTGTTTCCTTCTGTTATTATATCAAACTTTGACTTTCTTTTGTTTTCACCAGTGTGTGAATGTGTGAACGTCTGTAAGTGTGAAGAGCTTTGGGGTCCACAGGGTCTTGATAAAGCTCTATGAGTTCAGTCCATTTATTTTATTTGATTTTATTGAAATTCATCAAATTGTTTCACACAAAACTCCTTATTTGGTGTCATTAAAACAATTCTGACCAATGAACACATCAAGGCTTTTTCTGAACGAGTTTTCTGTTTTTTATTCTACTTATGAAAAAGTTGAATGAATTATAAATATAACTTACTGTTCTCACAATAAAAGAATTTTTTATGAAAACTGTTTCAGCTTTTATTGAAAAGAATAAAAAGTTTTGGTGTGGTGGGTGTGGCCTAACGTTGTGTCCCCTCAGACATGTTGATTGTTTCCTGTCAGCAGAAATAACCAGTTCTGATCACTGAGGTCCACAGAGCTCCAGGAGATGACAGACTTTGCTTGGCAGATGTAGAAAAACGGTAAAATCTTTTTTTTCTTGTATTTTTAGGTCAATAAAAACATTGGTCTACATCAGGGGTGCCCAACCTTTTTTGAACACAACAAATGGGCCAGCCAGCCGACCCAGCACAACCCACCGCCACCACGGCCATCCGCCCAGCCCCACCCCAGAAGAAATACTACACCCACCCCATCATTCAGACAACTCACAGAACATTTAGCACGCTAGACACCCAGGCTGGGTTGGCCTGCCCCCTCCCACGGGCCACCGGCCCGGTCCCCAGCCAACCCAACCCCCCAGCTTCGGACCCGCAGCCCACCAGTGCACCAAAAGGCTCCCCGCCCAGAGCCGGGCACCCGGGCACAAACCAGCCCAGAGCCCGGCAATCCGCCCACCAGGCCTCAAGCCCCCCCGACGCCACCAGGACCACAGCCCAGGGGCGGCACGACCCCAGAACCCCAAGCTCCCCACGCCAACCCCGAACCCACCCCAGCACAGTCCGGCCACCGGGTCAGCAACCCATGACCGCCGCCACAGACCACCTACGAGCCTGCACGCGGCCACCAGAAGATATCCCCCAGACCCCCCAGGGTCCCCCCAG